AAAAAAAAAACAGAAAACAAACAACAACAACAAAAAAAAAAACAGTCAGTGGTGCCTGAGCTACTTCCTTGTGGCTGGAACCTAATACTCAAGATCCACACTTTAAAGAAGGAGAGGTTTATGGTAGTGTGGTGGTTCACAGCTCAGTCCATGGTCTACGCTCCAAGGCAGGAAGGGACTGGTGGAGGGAAGTGGCTAGAGAAGGGAGGAACCCTCTGGCATCACAGGGAATGGCACATCAGCAAACACATTTCAGTTCCCTTTGTGATCCTTCCCCCTCTCCTCTATCCACCTTATTTAACTTTCTCAGGACTTAATCTGTGTAGCTGTTAGAATGGCTTCTAAGTTATCAACTCCACAGGGTTGGCATGCATGCACAAATATTGCCATCTCAATATTCTCTTCTTGCTCAAGAGTGACGATGTGACAATGTGACAGGAGAGGTTGACTCATCCAATCTCTCTGTAGGAGAATCCCCATGAGACAACAGACACCTTAGCCACACCTGCTGCCCTATGGGCAGTTCAACTTCCACAGGTGAGATGGGGCAGGAGAGGCAACCACCAGAACCTGAGCAAGACCAATGCTGTAGAACTCCACAAGGCATATCCCCTCCCAGTGAAGGAGATCACCCACACATATACATCACCACTTCTGGCTCAAGACATCTTGTAGCTTAGGTGGGTCCTCTCCCATTCTCAGTGTCAACCCACATGGTTTTCTTACTGAAATGTCCCACTGGGTGTGGTGGCACACATCTGTGGTCCCAGCACTAGGGAGGCTGAAGCTAAAGGATCGCCATGTGTCTGAGGCCAGGATGGTCTACAGAGAAACACTGCCTCAAAAGACAACAATTAAAATGAAAATGTCCTGTTAACTGAACAAGGAGATCATGTGGGCTTCTGTGAGCCTGGATCACACAATTCCAGAGCCTGGTGCATGCACAGGTTGCCACAGGGACAGCAGAAGCAGCAACCTTGCTGCAAGCTTGGAGGATGCTGCTCATCTACAGTGAGAGCCATGCCCAAAGCATCGCCAGCTTCAGGGCTTCTGGTTCCTGTCCCGATGCCCATGAGCCTCGCCTGCACACAAGCTGGTGGGCTGTGATCCGTTACTCAAGGTCTTGGGAGCACAGGGCCCAAATGAACAAAATTTGTACACTTGTGTTTAACTTGTGCTTTCAGGACAGTCTAGGCTCTCGTCTGTTACATGCTAGTTAGTAACTTGGAGAATCACAAACATCCTGGCTTATGAAGTGGGTGGCGCTGCCCATCCAACACGCATGAGAGAGCATGGGGCAGGCTGGGAGGCAGCTCGATCCAGAACCTGACAGCTGCGCACTCTTCATGGCTACAACCCCCTCCCTCCTCCTTTAGCACAACCCCTCCCCAGGCTCTGCTTTGTGGGCTGATACCTTGGTCATCCAAGTTCTGAAAATATTAAATAGAAAACTCCAAAAATAATTCAGGGGTTTGAAGTATCTTTGACAACATATGGTTTTACTTGTTCTGCTTTACTGTTAGTTGTTACTGTTAATCTCTCCCTAGTCTGACGTGTACATTACAGTGCATCACAGGCCTGCACACAGACGGGCAGCAGTAATGGATGCAATTTCCTGAATTTAACAAGAAGGGTGTCAGGACTTGTCCTCCACATACAAGGGGTTATGCTAGATTGAGAGAACCCCAGTGCCCCTATGTGGTCTCCTTGCCACTGCCACCGTCTCCTACAGTGGTCATCACAACAGCAGAGCAAGCTTCTGAAATGACCACTTGCACAGAACTCTGCCGGGGTGCTCCTTCCACGTGGCCTGCTGGGCCAGCCCTGTCTCTTCACCTGCACCCAACCTCTCATCCTATCCCCCTTCTCTGTCACTCCAGCCACACTGCTCTTCTGATCTCCAACACCCTTCCCTCGGGACACCAAATAGCTGGTACCATTGCCCTTTCCTGGAGTCTCTTGGTGATGTCTGATTCAAACAGAAGCAGTCCTGTGCTCTGTACACAAGTCCTTCACAGGACATGGTGACTATATCACCACCACTTCATGGGGCTGAAAGCAAGCATTCTGCTTATGGCCTGGTTTTAGTTTGTGCTCTCCCTGTGTATGCTACCTACCCACTGCAGGTGGTATTACACACCTGGCTTTGAGAGTAACTCTTGAATACATCAGGTGCACAGTAGGTACTCACTGTTGGATGACAAAACTACCCAAATTTAGAGTCTACAACCATGAATCCAGGCATGGCTTAAACACCTGGCTCTGGACTAAATGAAGTGTTCCAAACTCTGGGTGAAGAGGAAGGGGCCACCCTGAAGAGGCATGGGCCAGGCCCATGGCAGTGCTGTATGACACCTGGTTGTGGGGCCTAGGCAGACCAATCCACAAGACTGAGCCACACTCTCCCCTTCCTCCTAACAGGCAAGCAGAAAATTTGACTTCCACCTGTCTGGTTCCTTTACTTGTTGATGATGATAGATAAGGAAAAATCAAACGTTCTTATTGCTCTTCCCCAATCAAACCCAAGGCATGAAAGAATTATTTCTATTTCCAAGGAAATGGCACAAAGCAGAGGTGATGGTCTTCTCTAGGTGCTTACAGGTACAGATTCCATTTGAAAGACCTACTGCAGGTGCATGTTAGTCACTTTTCCATTGCTAGGATGAAATATCCAATGCCCACAACTTAAAGGAAGAAAAGTTCATTTTGGCTGATGGTTTTACTGGGTTCAGTCCATGGCTGACTGGTGCCAAGGTGGAAGCAGCATGGCAGCCATGGTGGAAGGAGAGGGGGGAAAGGGAGGGAGGAGGCAAGACAAAAAATGAGAGGGCAAGAGAGGGAAGGAAAGAGCTGGGGATAAGAACAGCCTCTCTGGGTCACACCCCAGTGACTGCCTCCAACCAGGCTCCCACTCCTATAGCACAATCAATTACAGTTTCACAGGGTTACTGTAATGAATTTTCAAAAAGTTGGGCCTTCACCTTATTTTTTGATCACACTGTATCTGTCAGGGCTACCTACTTGCTGGGAGGCGCTCAACCAAGCTCTGGATAACTAGCCTGACCAGACATCACAGCAACACTATGCATGACGATTGCTTCCCTGCCGATTCTCCTGCCCTCTCAGCCAAGAGTGAGGCTTCAGGCTCCCAAATTCTACTGCTGTGGGGAGAGACAGGAGGAAGAAGAGGGTTTTGCTACTACGTGGCTGCTGTCTCAAAGCTGCTGACTGGCCTGAGTTTCCTAACTTGCATGAGTATGAAATCGATGTAGCTACATTTTTCATTTTTCCTGATTTTTTGAGAATCCTTAAGCATGATGAAAAACTGCATTGGGATTAATTTAACTTCCAATTTGCTGAAGAATTACACTACTAAGGTGAAAGGTGTTTGCTGCCAAGTGAAACCAACTGTCCCCAGACACTGAACCAGATCTCCTAAGATGAAGCAGGTACCATGTGCCTCACTGTTGTTGAACTTAGCCATTTGGATTTTTATTGAATGAAACTTTAATTAGAAGGGCAACACATGGGGCTGGGGAGATGACTTGGTGGTCTAAATGCCTGCCTGGCAAGCGCAAGGATGCGGGTTCGATCCCCAGCACCGCATGCCGTGTACTAAAGTAGATTTAAAAGGGCAACACAACTGGATTTTTATGATAATTTCTCCTGGAGAATTTTAAGTATAAGAATTGAAATTTGGAGCATTTTAAATGTAGAAATGACCTGCCTAGAAGGTAAAACATGGTATATTTCTTTTCTAAACTCACTGTATAACTTCTGATGTTTTTTAATTATCAAGGCAGTTGGACAAAATCTGTCATGGGAAACAGAATGAATTGTGTGTGGCCCACATGAGTCAGAAGAATGTGCTCTTTGGCATTATTCAGAGCTTTGTAGAAGCAGAGGTATCCCTGTCCACT